AAAAGGTAAACAGGCACAGAAATTATGGCAAGTGAAGAAGTCACGCAAATAAATATAAACGAAGCCAGCCCCTAAGTATGTAGACCATTTAGTTGAGAAAAAGTGCTACACTACAACAAAGATTATTTTAAAAAATATATATATATATTTGACGGAAAAGCATAAATCAGTGTGGCGCATGAAATGTTTGAGGAAATTCGCCTGCAATAAATAGAGGTGCTAAAGCTAATTAACGCTTCTATTCAAACATATTGTAGCATGCGTCAATAAGTTAGAAATGTTTAAATTTACATTTTCAATCTAGCGGAAATGTTTTGGAGCACCTTACTGTGTGATATATTGCATTTTAGAGCGCTAAATTCAAGAGGTGCCCGATAAACAAAAATAAGGGATCATGAAACCGAAATACAGTAGGTAAGCTTGAATTAGGTTAGGTTAGAAATCTGATCCCCCATAATGGCAGGGAGTCACAATTAGAATCCTAAATACCGCCTTTAGTGAAACCAAATAAAAACTCCTGTAGTTGGATATTAACTCTCCACAAAGCGCCTTGAACCCATCGTAAACCTGCCTACTTTTTTTTTCTAGTATGTCACTTGGATGTCTAAAAGTGTGATATCTGTGGTATTTTAGCCTTGATCTGGTAAAGACTAAACATTCGCGAAGGAAGTGTAGAGATGATTATATATACAATGTCTTGTATTTCACTCTATTCCAAACAGCGTATGCAATTCGCATCCGTTAAAATTTCCAATCTTACCGCTTTAATCACGATCGAGAATCACAACTCCTATAACTATTTTAAAGTGAACTTAGCTGAGAGAGGAGTTTAATTCCGTTTTGGCCATGCATCCAAACCTGTTTAATCATGAAGTAACGTGAAGCAAGAGATAAGGAGCGGCAAAATCCTTTCACTAGTCTCGAGTGTACGGTCAACGAGCTCAAGGATAGTCGCCACTCTGAAAGAGGCTGCGCTGTCGAGCAGTGACTCTTTTGCTAACTTAATGGTTGCCACTTCCGTTTGGAAGACGCCTAAACTTGGAGTTGATATATAGTTCCCGACAGTGTTCTTCTCCAAAAACCATCCCCACAAGCATTGATCCGTCCATAAAAATACTCACCGCCTTTCCTCCAGTGACTCATTCCCTCCCATACGTCCCTGGAAAGTATGTGCGCAGAAAAAAACTTCCAGGCCTTCATTCGGCCACCTAGTGATCCGAGTATTTTGGAATGAAATCAAAGAATTCCAGAGAGCCTAGACTTGCAGTAATATTTGTACGGAGTTTATCTCGGTCTGCGAACAACTTTCGCAGCCATACACCTTCCGACTATATTCGCAGATGCTATGTGCAACAAAGCGTTGAGCGCCATAGTTGTTATGGTTCGGAGTGCACTGCTAATACCAATGAGAACTGCTCGTTGATCGCTAACTAATTTATTCTCGAACCATAATTCCATAAAAAACTACAGGCTTGACTATGGTCTAATAGAGCCAAAGAACTACGTTTGGTGGGAGATCCTATCTGTTACCAATAGCTTCCTGTCTATGATAAGCCCATATGATAGTAGATGCGCATCCAGTCCAGTTCCGTCCTATTAGGATTAATGGTGAAGTCACTTACAGCAGCCCAGTTGATTGAGGTATCGAGAAAACTCCCACTAGTAATGAAATTAAATTTATACATTATATATTTTAATTCACTTTCGCCCAAGTAATTCTTCATTCCCTAGATGGATTAGAAAAAATTACAAAAAGCCATGATTACGCCAAGATAAATAAATATTCTTACAATTGCACCTACATTCAAAGCCTAAATTACGAATGCAATAATTATTTATTATTTAACGCCTCTTTTTACATATTTCTCATCCCATTATTGTCATTTTCTTTTCCTCATTTTCTTCTCTTCTACCACACTTTTACTTTTTATTGTCCGCTTTTTATAAATCGCGTTATTATGTCAAACGTTGCGCTGCGGTGGCGCCGTTGATTAGCTACCGATAAGCCAGCGCAATTTGCATAAGAATAAATTTATATATTGAATGTGAAAAAATGAAATCAACGAAATACAAGAAATGTAAATCCATCCCATTGGTGTTACCAAGAGAAATCTAGAGAGACAAGAGGAAAGACTACTCGCCATTGTGGCCATTAAACGACGATATGATAAATGTGGCAAGCCGGATAAATATAAATATTACACAATAAATAACAGTTAAATAATGTTGTGAGATATAAAGCTAACATGCTTGCAACAAAAACTCTACGGGCAAACGGGCATTATTTTTTCAGTGAAAGCAGCAGCGAGAAGGCGTGATTTGCCACCACTAAATGCTAATCACTAAATATTCATCAATTGCGGCAACACTGTCAATTATTCATGTTTTTATGCTGGTATTTTATGTTGCCAGTGTTGTTGTTGTTGTGTACATAGAGATTTACACATTGTACTCCAGGGAAATTAACGGTAACAAACATTAAATGCCAAAGCTATCAGCAATTTAGGCGGAAAAAAATTCTGAAAATGCCAACTGTGCAATGTTATGCGAGTCTTGACAACAACAATGACAGCTAATACCACATTGACAGCATGCAAAAGTCAAACAGTTGTGAGCATTTTACAAAGAAAAAAATATATATTTTTGTAAGGGATTTGCTTGACAACTTTCGGCAGGAAGCCGAAGGAATTTGATACATGTTAATTCGCTACTCCCGCTTGAGCTGCCTCGGGTTTCATTCATTCAACATTTGCATGCTAAACAAATATATTTAAAAAGTGATTTATATGTTATTGTATAGATTTATTCATCGGTGGTTTTCGTTGTATAAACATTTGTCATGCTTCACTGGTATTTATCAGCTGAAGATGGTTTGAGAATATGTAAGCGTTTTTTTATCGAGAGAAGTACTTTAAGAGTATTATTCTAAGACAAGTAAAAACAGGAAAATAATTAAATAGCGATGAAGAAATTGATATTATTCACGAGCAAATGATAAATTGTTTACCAAAGTCGCACATCTATCTAATGTATACCTTTAGGCGCATAGCTATCGTACTTAGCGAAGTCACATACCTAAAAAACTTAGTTAGTGATTCTAGGCATTTTTAGTTTTTGGTCTATAACTATATTTGTATGGTTTGTCAAGCGAAGACGCTACTTGATTATTATTCCACTGATCCCCTATACCGAACATACCAATAACAAGAAAGCCTCACACAATATTTGAGGCTTATTGAAGCAGCCATTTTAAAAGGTTTAAACAGCCGAAAACATTCAAAAGCAGGGAAATTTGGTGCTATATGAACTGAATCCAAGAGATGTAGAAAGACGATTTTGCATGTCGGAAATGCTGCTTAAACGCTACAAAAAGATGTAATATTTTCATCAGATTGTGACTGGTGATAAACAATGAAATCAGGTCAACAAACCAAATCAACGGCAAAGTCGAATATCCATGACGCCAAGGTATTGCTCTGTAGTTGGTGGGACCAGAAGGGTGTGCTGTACTTCGAACTTCTGAAATCAGATGAAACCATTAATGACGAACGTTACCGACAAAAAAACTTATTAAATCGAAGCGAGTGATTGCCGAAAAGCACTCTGTATTCGCGACTAGACACGAGGCAATAATTTTCCATCATGACAACGCTCGACCTCATGTTGGAAGACCGGTTGAAAAATATTCAGAAAACAGCGGCTAAAAAGTTTTACTTTACTCGCCTCATAGCCCAGACGTTGTTCCTTCTGACTATTATATTTGTTCCGTTTATTGCAGATTTTCTTAACTAGTATACGGTTCACATCCGAACAGGGTTTCAAAAATTAGCTTGCTTTATTCTTGATCGCCAAGCCGGCGCAGTTCTTTTGGTATTACATACAAATTTCCAGAAACATGTAAAAATGTTATAGCTTCAGATGGGCAATACTTTTAAAATAACTACTTATCAGTAAAATATAGATACACTGGAGAAGTTATTAATACTCATTGTACATTCTCGAAAAATTAACAGTATATTTTAGAATGAGGTCTATGCAATAAAAAGTGACAAGTTTTACAATAAAATAAAAATATATGTTATTAAGCAATTTCCGTTTAATATTCCAAGAGATATTAAAATGATGATAAATTACAATTTGGAAAATATATAGTACTTTTCAATGCTTTCCCTAGTTCTTTTGGTATTTATAACTTATAAAGGTGCATTCTATAGCACTATCTACAAAAAAAGTTCGTCAATTTCAGCAAGACGATTTTGTACAGACTTTAGTTCCGTAATTATTTGAGAACGGAAAATTTAGCATCACTTGAACGAAAAACTGTCTAAAAATTATATAATAATAACCTCCTTTTCTTGCATAGTTTATCAGTGTGGAAGAAATTACATAACACGGATTGTGATTCTGGACAATCCAACCGATATTTTTCTTATGTTAATGGGATGTAAAGATAATTATAATAAATACAAAAAACAAAAAAAAATTAACATAAGAAAAATATTATATGTTATACCTCAAAGTTCTATAATCATGTGATAGAAAAATGATAAAGTAAAAAGTGTAAAAAATGAAAAAAAAAACTATTTTGTCAAAATTCAAGAATTGATATCTTGGAAACGAATAAGGCCACCCCTTTTAAAATTTCCGAATTTCTTTAGATATGCTAGAGGTATAATACATAACATTTTCCCGCCATAGTTACTTTTCACGATTTTTAAAAGTTCATGTCGATTTGACATAGAATAACCCATTTGCTAAAAATTTTGAAGGATATATCCGGTATATTCTGTAATTAAAACTACGTATTTATCAAAAATGTAAACTGCTAGGTGATGACGTGTTGAAAAAAGTTTACAAATTTTTATTTATGGACCAATTTTGTGGAGCACAAGTTAATTATTTTATATTAGTGTTTCATCATTTGTTAGTTTCATATAAGAACTTTATAAGCATATTTTAAATAAACAATTTATTAACTCTAATTCTTGCTATTATTTTAGTCTGCAATTGCAACAATCACGCTCGTCAATGTCGCTTCAATATGGAACTATTTAAGCTCTCCGGACGTATCTCTGGCGGAGTTTGTGTAAATTGTCGACACTTTACCACCGGACGACACTGTCACTACTGCAAAGAAGGCTATTACCGTGATCCAACTAAGAAACTGAATCATCATCGTGTATGCAAACGTGAGTAAAAGTACAGTAATTTTTAATTTGAGAAAAAAAAAGTGGATTTATAGTGATTAAAAGATTATAAAAAACGTGAGAGAATAAAAATATTTTAGTACAAATTTCAATGCCAGATAATAGTATGGACCTTTTGCTAGATAAAATCAATAACAAATTTTAAGAGTTAGCTCTTCAATTCGTTTCTAATTTTTTTACAAAATTAGATATTAAAGCTTTGTGCAACTCACGCCATTACCTTAAATAAATCTACTCTTTAGGTTAAATTTATAACGAACCACCTAACTTAATCCATAAATTAATATTTACAAACATAAAAATTTTATTTTTCTCAAATGAAGTCAACAATATCACAACATAAAAAATTAACAATAACAACTGCTACCATTCCTAATGAACAATGCAATAAATGTCCAAAATATAGACGAAAAAAATCAAATAAAAGTCTGTGGCAACATTTATGGGTCGCCGCTAATTTCATCAATGACACATTAGACACTAATTTAAATGGGGCCATAAAAATATTTGAGGCATTTGCCGATGCCGCCAAACGCCCAATCGGCCAGCGACACCGCAACACTCTCGATTTTCAATATTTTTGAGACAAATTAATATTGAGAGATTTTACAAAGCGCGCACAGCTTGACGCCTTGGCTATTTAATATTAATTTTTGCTTGTTGTTGTTATCATTACAAGTATTACTATTTTTGCTGTTGCGACGACAGCTGCGCTACGCCTAATTATTTATGGACGTTCGGAGAGTGGCAAATTGTTGGATGCACACAAACAAACATACATACACACAAAAGCACATTAGCGCTAATACAAACGCATACACACATACTTACAAGTCATAAATATTCATAAGCTTGGTTTCTTAGCTGTTCCGTTGTGTATTATTGATATAATATACATATAGCTGATTTTTATTTACATATAAAATTTTTACAAACCGATGCGCATGCGCTTATGAAAATCAGCAATAGAAATAAATTTAACACTCGTAAAATAATGGAAGTTGAAACAGGTCGTTTTTATTAGCGGAATTTCGAAGCTTTTTAGCAACTAATAATTAATTTGTGATTAAGTGAATGAGATAAGAGTTCGGACGAAAACTTTTGGTGATAATTTATTCATTAGCAGCGATGGAAATAAAATAAACAAATTTTTATAAAAACTACAATATGCAAAAGACGAAGATAAGAATCGCTGCAGGTATTCGGTTTCAAGTGTCTGGTTTTGAGGTAGGAAATAATTTCAGAAATATTTTTATTAAGTTTGATAAGGCTAATGAAGGAAAAAACATAGTGCTATCTTAATATAAAATATATTATAATAAAATTTTAATTAAAAGTTATTGTTCGCGTTCAAGAAATCTGCAGGCGCGTCTTTTTATGAAAAACTAAACTTAGTAAAACACTTTTGGAAATTCTTATAAAAAATATTATTTTTGTATTTTATATATAAGTTACTGATTAAATAAATTAAAGCATTAATTCAATAACTGGCTTTGTGGTCTGGCATATCGCCTTCACTAACAAAACTTTAACATAAAGTAACCAAAAAGTCGAAAATACGAAAAATTGGATTGCAATGGGCATATAAGGGCTAGGAGAAAGAAGGAGAGTAATTTGACCCTTTCATGCTCTCACTTCATTTCACATTCTGATTGATACTTTCGGTATACCATCAACCGATTGCACTTAGATCCTCGTATTCAATATACTACAAAAGAAATGGACCAACTTTGACCACTCGGCTCCAGAAATGAGCTGACACCGAAAAAAACAAAATTTCTTGAAGGCACTGAAGTCCCTCACAGCCCAGGCTTATAAGGCTTATAACAAGTATATTCTTGTAAATTGGATTAAGTATCGGCATGCTTTTATTGGCTCAAAAGCAGCCTACTTTTAAAGCGATAAAACATAATTATATAAAAATACGTGAAAAAGTATAAAATCCGGGTCAAATTCGTTTAGATGGTATTTCTACTAGTTCTAAGCTTATTTTAAATGCCACAGTGACTTTTGAGATACCTAGGATCTCTAAATATAAAACATTTTAAATTAGCTCCTTCTATTCTTTCACCACTTGCTACAACACTAAATTATTTCTTCAATCATCCAAATCGGAGCCAGGGCATAAACAACAACTTTCACACAATTCAAGGTCAATCTCACACAACTACGTTGGTAGAAAAAGCAAACTTTAGACACAAAGAACTAATTTATGAGCAACAATTGATCTTCGCAAAGCAAACAAAGCCGCTTATTGGCAAAGCAAATGTGCTAATAATGACAGAAGACGGCAAAACCAAGTTAAAAAGAGAAACGAGAATTAGAAACAGAAACAATGGTTAAAATAATAAACAAACATATTGAAATGCGAACTGGTGGAAAATGCGCTAAATATACAATAAAAACGAGAGCAAATCAAATTGTAACACATGGCGTATGAGTAACTGCAGGCATTAAAGGCGTACAACAGGCAATTTTGACTTATTTGCAAGCGGCGTTGTAACATTAACGTATCTATGTGTATATGTGTGTGTTTGAGTGAATGCGTGTTAATGTGTTTGTGTGGTGGGTGTGTAGCTTGTCCAGCATAGGCAATGCAATCACTTATAAGCAAAAAACGTGCCACACGCACCCAAAAAACAGCTACAAAGCAACAGTTAACGATTGCAATCTCACAGCAATTTAAACAAAACACACACACATTCATATGCAAATGTGGGTAGGTGCATATATATGTAAATGTTGGCCTTTGCCTGGCTTGCGAATGTTTATTTTGGCTTCTGCACATTGCCAGCTGTTGTAGTTCATTAGCCGTTGTCATTCTGGTTGTTGTTGCTGTTGCATGTACGCAACTGCAATGTGCAGCACAATTGTCTTTCAACTTGCAGGTATTTCAACTTTTATTTTTATTTTTATTTTTGTACTGTTTTCATTTAAGCTTTTGTGTTTACAACGCTCGAAGCTGAACTGCTTTGTGATTGCGGTGGAGGTGGTTCTTGCTTTTGATTTATGCTTTTTTTGCTGTGATTGTGTGCTGTCTGGTTCTAAGTTATTCTAGTTAGCATATTTAACCAAATTAATTGCCTTACGATTTCGTTACTTTGGTTTACAATACATCGGACCAGATTTTTCTATATATGCACTTATATTGCTTTAAAATTCTCATTTTTGCTCCCCTGTCGGTATATTTAGAGGGCAAAGTGTTAAAAGTGCGAATGCAAATTAGCATGTAGTTAGTAGCTTGTTGAACTTTTGACTTTCAAGTATCTATTGGCTTATTTGATACTAATCTTTTCGTCTTGTTTCGAGGTATGAATAGTTGTTAGAAGAATGGAGGTACGAGTATATACCACATATATAATTATATATGTGTACAGATAAACGAACATAATGTCTATGGATATAACATTGCGATTTTTATTGTTGCCCTGGTTATATAGAATATTTTTTTAAGAGTATTTTTTATTCGACTTTGTTGGTTGAGGCATTAGTCTATCATTAGTGTCGAGCGCACGATCAGCCGGTTCAAGGCTAATATCACCGTCCTACTATTAGACCATACTATATTTTTACCATTTAACTAATAAATGGAACTTTATTTCAGGAAAAGAAAGAGAGAGAGAGTTGTATATGGAGTATCATTTTTCTTGGAACCCCCTTTTGAGGTTTAAAACACGAATAAGTATTTTATTTTGAAGGTATAGATATAGAAGGTAAAGACAATTCGTCATCGAAAGAAATAACCTAATAGTTTGATGATGAAAGATCTGATATAAGGGAGTCCGAAAGTTAGCACTTCTTATTCGTTATCAAATATATAGCTATTAGAAAGTTTTCAGAAACTAAGTGTGATATCGGCATGGATCAATATTCAAATTTAAAGTTGAGAAACGTATACTTTTAATAAAAAATTCAGCGAAAATTATGATTTCAAATGAAATTTTCCATGATTTATTAAAATTTAGTTTTTAAGGCAAATGAAGGGTTATCAAGGCTTCGCAAATCACGTAAGTTTAATAATTTGGTCTATGCATGTTAGTGTCCCTGAATACATTGAACTGTGGCCAATGGGCTAACATTTTGCAGAGTGAATGTCTTTCAGTTCCCTTCTATTATTCAGCGGATTAATTCGAAAAAAAATCATAATACAAACGCCTTAGTCATCAATAGTACTTTTAAGCCGAAAATTCTTCGTAGTCAAGCCGCCGCAGAAATTACTAAGGACCACCAAACGTAGCTTTCTCTTCATTAAGAAATTTCTTCATGTGATAAAAAATCATAAAAAAAATTAACTCACGCCTGTAAGTAAATGAATCACATTCAAGTTAGTAAGACTTTCTACCGAATTTCGCGTAAATTTTAATGAGTCCGCCGTTTTTATTTTGGGATCACTTTTTTAGAGGCCGAGTAACAAATCAGTGCGGCGGCAATCGTAAATTTGAAACGCGCCAAGTTGTTACGTTAATCCGCCGTAATCAAAGAGGCAGCAGAAAACAACACAGCAACAAAGTTTTAACAACCATGTAATGACAGTACAAAGCTACACAATGCCAACGTCTTTTTTTTTTTAAGACACAACTCAAATTTTTATCGATATGAAATTAATTTCGCACAACGCAATCGTAAATTTTTTCACTGAAAAATAAGACTTGCAAAAAACAACAACAACACCCGCATACATATAGGTATTTACAACTGCTGCTGACGACGGGAGGGTGACAAAGCAAAGCAACAACAGCAAAAACTACGCAAAAATGTAACACTCAATTAAAAAACCGCCATGAAAGCGTAGGGAAAGAAAAAAAAACCATAAAAACATCGAAAAATCCAGTTTGCGAGCGTTTAAATTTAAAACGATACTAAAATTCGGGACGGCCAACTGTTGAGCTTACGGTCATATTAAGTGCGACTAGCCATTGTTGCATAACGTGTGTGTGTAGGTTTGTCTGGATTTGGTTGCCTTGCTGCTTTTGTTTTAAATT